CGTGAGGATTGCCCTGCCATTTTTTCGGATTTTTTCCTCTTTTGTTCGAATTTTTTGATTTTTTTTTCTTTTTTATGAATCTTTTTTTTTTCGGTTTTTTGTGTTAGAATGAATGTTTGGATTGGCCACATTTATCATTTTTTAAGAATTAGAATTTTTTTAATGTTTTAAAAAAACAAATTAAAAATTGAATTTTTTATTATTATTTTTTAATAAGGGCAAAAGAGTATTTTTTGGGTGCGGTGATTAGTAAAATAGAGTGCGGTGTTTATTAACACTCTAGATAAAAATATGATCCAAAGAGAATTAGATCCAGTGGATTCTTCCACTTCCACTTTCAAGCAAAAGGAGTGCCCTATGATTTGTTTAACAGTAAAATTCTTGTTCCACAAAAGGAGAAGACCACCACTCATACCAATGGGATCTACTGCAAAAAACATGTCTTTGAAGCCAATTTTGTTGCAGACTGTTGAGACAAAATCTTTTTTCTTTTTTGTTTCTGAAAGAAAAATAAAATCAGGGTGATGAACTCTTGAAGAGTCCTTGATCGGGGATACTGTAGAGGGTCTACCCAAACCTCTACAGTTCCACAGGATCATCTTCATTTGGAAACTTGAGGCCAATTTAGGTTGGCTTCCTCCACCTTAGAGTTGTTGTTCTTTTGGGTTTTGGCTTTTTTGGGGTCTGGAATAAAGGATTCCTTAGCAGTTTCAGAGTCAAGAATATGGATATTGAGTCTTCTTTTGGCAGATGCAGGGGGAGGAGAAGGTAGTGGTTGTTTACCCTCTCTCTTTAATTTCCCTTGCTTGTTGAGACTTCTTTTCCAACCCCTTCTTTTAGGTAGCATGATGTCTGGATGGGAATCTTCATTGATCATAAGCTTATCATAATCTTGAAGTTCATGATGAACTACAGATAGAGTATCATCACCCACAATGGTCTGAGATTCCCTTGATCCTTGAGTTGCACTGATTACCCCTCCAAGGCAGTTCCTGTCAGCTATCTTCACCTCATTTAGGTTGAATAGTGCTAAAGTGTTTTCAGTGACAAGTTGGTCACAGATCATTTTTTCTGCTTCACTTAGTTAAGTGATTGGAGTTTCTATCAGTTTGGATTCATGAGGACGGACATTGCTGCCATCAGAGGGATTTGATTGAACACTCTCTCCACCCTCTCTTTGTGGGTTCATTTGATCATTAGAGTTGCTCACTGGACTGCTTGTAGAAGGAGTAGCGAGTCCAAAATATCCTTCTGGTGCTTTCAGCCATTCACCTATTGGCCCTCATCAAGGGAGTTGTTAGCAATATCATCAATTCTCTTATCACATGATCTCTCTAAGTGCCCAATGAACCGCAATAATGACAGAAATTAACTATTTTTTTGTACTGAAACACTACCATTACTTGTTGATCATGCAGCTTCATGTTTGCCACTCGGAGGAGAGGTTTTGAAACATCCACATTGACCAGCAAGCGAAGAAAGCTGCCTTTGTTACCACCAGCTTTTACCACGACCACATTGAAAGTTTTACTGAAAAGTTTCCCAATTTTGATACCCACGTCTAAACATACCCAGTTGAGAGGAATGTTTCTCGCCTAGACCTAGAGTTTAAGTTTTGAAAATCCCTTATGTTTCTCTGTAAGCCCTACTTTCCACTCTTTCAGGATAAGGTATTGGTTCTCGAACATCCAGTGAACTCTTGTGGCTACCTTCTTTTTATCTTCCATATGAATTGGAAGTAATTGGTTTTGAGCTTTCGAACCTCTACTGGAATTTGAATTTGCCAAATCAGTCTCATTGTTCGCTTAATGCCTGAGAGATGCGCTTTCCTGTCGCCAATTATTTTGCCAAAGAGGCACTTTTCACATTCTACAGCACTGTACCATATGTCATCATCTTCTAATTCAACAAACTCTGGTTGCGACAAAGAGATCTGCTTTAACTTATTTCCTAATTCCTCTGAGAATCCTTCTACCGACGATGCTCCCACTGGAGAAGAATCCATCAGAGAACCTGCAAGCACAGACAAGATAGAGCACCTGATGCAGAGGAGAAATATTAAGAATTAGAAACCCTAGACCCGCAAAACGAAGGAGGGCCCAAAATAAGTAAAGAAAAGGGGAACAACGAGAACAAGAAAATTGATAATGGGAGAAAATAAGACTCCTAAGGAGTATTGGGAGATCAAATGGAAGCCCTCCTAGAAGAGAATCGGAAAACCCCCAAGGAGTAATCGTGCTTAACTGACTTTTACTTACTCCACCTTACTATGTGATTTTGTGCACATTTGATTACAAACTTACTAATTTTATTATATTCTATCAAATTAGGCAATGTTTGCTAAAACTAGCTGATAAGCTAGCTGATAGTTGATAAACTAGTTTATAGCTTATCAGTAATTTTTGAGCTTATAGCTTATAATTTATGACTTATAGCTGAAAAGCTAGCTAATATGATAAAAGTGTTTGGTAAAATAGCTGATAAGTTAGCTGAAATAAAAAAATTCAACTAGCTTATTTGAAAAGTTACCTAAAGAAGCTTATGAGATAAACTCGAACTTTTTAAAAAAACCCGTCCTACCAAACGAGACTTATTTGAATATAGGGAGCTTATATTCTCTCGTTTTGGCCCGCTACTATCAAATTTAAGGTCAAGACAGGCTTTAAACAATATTATTTGTTAAGGAATTGAAAAAAAAAAGTTGGTTAACATATTGCAAAGTCACATAATTTAAGTTAAACGTTATTTTCTCTAAAACGTTTACATTAATGTCAAAATTTCTCTGAAAAATATTTACCCTTTAAAGTGTCAAAATATAAGTTAACGGTTTTGCTATGAAGCCAACAGTTAGCTCCATAATGGAGCCAACCTTCTATATACAACAAGTAAACTTACCATATTCTCTGATTACTTAAATAACACTAATATAATTATATTAATTTGGTAGGTTTATTTGTTATATATAGAAGGTTGGCTCCACTATGAAGCCAACTGTTGGCTTCATAGCAAAACCATATTAGTTAAATAGGCAAAGTACAAACAATCTCATCATTTAGTATTTAGATATAAAAATACAAGCGTCATATGTAAAATTTGGTGGTTCATGTTATTTTCCTATTTTGCTAAAACTAGGAGAGAATGCATAGAGTATAGAAGAGAAATATATGTATTTTCCATTGCTCGTAATAGTGAGATTACATCTAATATATATAGAGGTTGCAAGAGATAAAAAAATAAATCAATATCAAATCAAATCAAGATCAAATATCTAATTACCAAAATAACTACTACCAAATCAAGATCATATCAAACCAAAGATATCTTAACAAAATAACTAAAGTCNCCCCCCCCCCCCCCCCCCTCAAGTTGGTGCATGAAGATTTTGAATGCCCAACTTGCTTAGAAATTCTGATAAATCCTGGCCACACAATGCTTTGGTGAAGATGTCTGCTGAGCTTTGGTAGAAACATAATCAAGATCGATAAGTGGACTGAAGGACAGAGGACCAAAGGACTTGATCAATTATATTTAATATCCAAATGACCGAAGGATTGAAGGACTGAAGGACAGAGGACAAAGGACTTGATTAATTGTATTTAATATCCAAAGGACTAAAGGACCGAAGGAATGAAGGACTGAAGGACAAAGGACTTGATAAATTGTATTTAATCATCTAAGAACCCATCTAATGGAGGAGGAATTGAACCTTCTAAGAACCAGAATTTTATTTTATTTTTTTTCGTGCCCAGGGAGCAGTCCAGAGAGAAAAAGACATGACTGAAGAGAAGAAAAGAAAAAATATATTAATCAGAACAGCGGTGGTGAAAAACCGTGGCTCTGATACCAACTAGGAAAGAATGCATAGAGTAGAGAAGAGAAATATATGTATTTTCCATTGCTCGTAGTAGTGAGACTGCATCTAATATATAGAGGTTGAAAGAGATAAAAAAACAAATCAATATCAAATCAAATCAAGATCAAATATCTAATTACCAAAATAATTACTATCAAATCAAGATCATATCAAACCAAAAATATCTTAACAAAATAACTAAAGTCTATTTTAACATATTTTTTTGTTTATTAATAAAACAGGTCGTATGATACATCTAATAAGAGTTTGATTTAGGGGATAAAACTAGTCAAGTTGCACACACATCATGTTTGTAGAAAATATTGTGAATATTCCCGTAAATTCTTATATCCAATTATAGGTAATCACGATTACTCTTCACAGTTACGGATTACAAAAAGGTCTTACATTTACGCAAAAACTTAAAAATCCCTTTATGGCTAACTGAATTCAGCATACGTCCTTCATTGCTTTTTCTTATGCCTGAAGGGAATTTCCCTACATGTGCAGATTGGTTGATGCTCTCTAAGTTGATATTTGAAGCATAGTTCAGAGTGAAAAAGATCTCTATCAGGTGAGTGTCGAGCCTTTCCATGAGCTGCACTTTATCCCTTATAAGGTGAGTGCCGAGCCTTTAAATCATGTCTGATTGAGAACATTATGAACTCCAAGTCATCAGCATATTGATGGGGGCATCTATCTTCCCTATTATAATTTTCATTTGTCCCTTTTTGTCAGCAAATTTGCCAAGTTAACTCAAAGTTCGACAACTATCATGAAAATTGTGTTTCATGACTCTTTGTGACTAGCAAGTGTTACTTGGATATTGATTTCAAATTTCTTGTTAATATCTATATATAAATAAAGAGGAGCAACAAAGCATTAAATTATATTATCATGCATTAAATTTTATTCTTCTTCCAAAATTTTCAACATTCAATTTCATTTTTAAGTTACAAAATAACTTGTTTGAATGCCATAAATTATGAGCATAAACCAATCAAGGGAGTTACAAAATTGTACTCAAATTTTAAGTCACACTCACTCATGAAAATGACCAGGTGTATTAGCATAAAGAAAATAATTGTAACGGTTCTTCAATAGCAATTACTTATCAAAATCAATTCTGAGAATTATTTTCTTAATTCATATTTTTTTCATGAATTAAATTATAATTTATTTTTGTTTTTATTTATATTGTTATTTTTTTAAAGTATTCTTTTATGTGCAAATTCACAGGTTGATTACTAGTTTTAATTGAACTTCCCATATTGCTTTTATTAT